CCGACGCGGCGGCGCCCGACGCGCAGGCCGACCGGCTCACCGTCTACCTGGTGGTGGCGCTGGCCGCCGTGTCGTCGCTCTTCCTCCTGTCTGCGCTGGCCTTCGTGGCGGCGCGTGTGTGCGCGAGGAGCGGCGCGGCGGCGCGGGGAGGCTCGCCGGGGCCCGAGGGCCACTTCCCGGGCCACCTGGTGGACGTCAGCGGCGCCGGGACGCTGTCCCACAGCTACCAGTATGAGGTGTGCCTGACGGGAGGTACTGGGACCAGTGAGTTCAAGTTCATCAAGCCCATTCTCCCCAACTTCATGGGTGAACCTATTCGGCCTAACAGGGAGGTAAATTCTAACTTCAGAAATCATTTTGGTTCCAGTTAGGGATCTCACATCGACAAAACTTAAGAATTGTTAAAATTCACTACTGTACGCATTTCCAACCCTTTCATCTACATACTGAGCTTACTGTTTCACACATTCATAATTATAATCACATTTATAATTATTTAAATCTGTTTGACATATTTTTCATTTCGAAAGTCTGGGTTTTTTACTTGCTTTAAACGTCGTCCATTTTGCATGTTTATACGAGTATGGAATGGTGTTTCTCAGATTTTGTGCGTCAAATTCTCAGAATTCACAAAGGTTTGCTGTTTCTGAGAGTTGGGCTTGTTCAGTGATATCTTGTTATATTAACAGAATTGCTTATTATCTTTGCATATCTACTTAATGTAAATGGTTGCTTTCAGCTTATAAATGGCTTACATTTATGTAACAAATACCCTGTGATTCCATCAACTTAGATTTTCATAGTATTGTCTTTCTCACAGAAAGTAATATTTTATGGCCATTTTCTAAGCGGAATATTTTCCCTCAAAATTGATATAATGTAGTTAGACCATATTGCTCTTAAATAATCAACTCTAGTTAAACAGAAAAAAATGTAAAAATAATAATGTTGGTAGATATCATAATAAATGGTTTTGGTATGTAACTAATGATTCTCATTTCACAATACTCAACACGAAAATGAATGCAAGGCCTCCCTGGTGTCCTAGCGGTTAAGTCTCAGTGCTGTCACCACTAGGGCCTGAGTTCTATCCCAGGCAGGGAGCTAACCCATATATGGTGCAGCAGACCTTTCCTGTCTTGTCCACTGCTCCCCCTCAGAAGTGTTTTTCAGTAAATCTGCCCATTCTGTCTCCAATCTCTGGTGAATTCTCTCACCACCAGCACCCACTCCCTGGCATCTCTGGTCTATATGCCAATTCTTCTATTAAAACATAAAATGAAAGCAAATTAACATTAGCATTCCACCATCATAAGTATTAATATAATCTACATCATTAGAAAATGTTTCTATGTATTTATAAGTTAATAGATGGAAATGACTTTTAAAAATTTAATCTATAATAAATTGCTAGCTTTACAATTAATACAATCAGATTTTAGTTAAATATAATAAAACAAAATTATAAACTACAGAAATTGCTTGAGCTCAAAAAAATGATTCCTATAACATTAAAGAACAGTATTGTGATGCATATTTAAGATGTTAGCAGTACTTAATGACCTGCTTAAAAATATTCTTAAACATTCTCCCTCCTATTTTCACTTTTTGTACATTTTATTATATGTAATAAGTACCTTATCCATGTTGTTGATAACATTTACAGCGTATTTAAGAGGATAACTCCTACAATTGCTTAGGCATTTTGTTTTTCAAATTTAAACTAAAATTATAGAACACCATCGTTTTTCCAATTTAATTCAAAGATAACTTTTTTAAATTCTTCACTTTTTTCCATATCTACTTCCATATTTCTAAATAATACATTTGTAAAATGCTTCTTCTCAAATTGACTTTTAGATATTATTCACTGCTTTCCTAAGAGGCACGCATGCGCACACCCTGTCACATTTCTTATATCTCATGCTCTCTCATAGCAGTATTGCCATCCGCTGTAGTGTTCACCTAATCATGACAATGTAAATATCATTTACTACACCTGAGCCTCCTGGTGCAGACATCTTGTTTCTTTCCTTCCCCCAATACTGACTCATGTTTTCACTTTACTTATCTATGTACATATTTTTAAATTATCACCATATTTTCTAAGTTTTTAATCTCTTTGATGTATTGCTAAGCTCATAAATAAATATCCCATTTCCACTATTTGTTAAAGCCACGTTAGAACCATGCAGACTTCTGCTTCATTGAATAATACGATTTGCTCTCTTGGTACTACAACAGACAGCTTAGGGTTTGCTTTACCCAACACCCTGAGAGTTCCTTTTATCTCTTTCCTGTGTTTGATTTCATTTTGTGGATTTTTGCCTTCCTCTTTGGCTTACTCATGCTAGCTTTTGAAGAATATATTTGATAATTTATTGAGAATTTGAACATCTGAAAATGTCAGGTGACAAAGAATCAAGTGTTCACTTGATGGTTTTGCTGGGTGTGGAATTATAGATAAGAAATTATTATTTGCTGTTAGCATTTCTTCATTGTATTCAAATCTCTACTATTGAGATGTTCAACACTCTGATTATTCTTTCTTTTCCGAATCTGTTTTCTTTTCCTTCTCAATGCCTGGCTCATAATCTGGAGCAATTTTGCCTCCCAGAAACATTTGGCAATGAAACAACTTACAGGGGACATTGTGCTACCGGCATTTAGTGGGTAGAGAGAAGGGATGCTGCTAAACTAGATATTCTATTATGCACAGGAAGCTCCCCATGAATTATCTATCAGGACAGCCCCCCATGAATTATCTAACACCAAATGTCTACAGTGTATATGACCCTATTTAACTTAGTGAAATTGGTTTCTTATATATTATCTCCAGTGTTTCTAGAATTTTTTGATTATGTGTGATAGTGTAAAAATTTTATCATTCATTGTGCTGAATAATCAATGAGATTTGTCAATCTTGAGACATGTATTTTTTATACTCAGCATTACTTGGGATATTTTAGTTTTTTAAAGATTTATTTATTTATGCATACAGAACTGGGGTACAGGCCAGAGATGCAGGGGCGGTGAGAGGATTTACCAAAGACAGGGTGGGGAGCAGAACAGGCCGACTGATGAAGTACACTGCTGAGGGAAGCAGTGGGAGAGACAGGAGAGGTCTGCTGAGCCATGTGGGTTGGCTCAGGGGCAGGGATCAAATTGGCACTAAAGCAGCTGCGGCTAGCTTGCAGTGATGCACCTTAACCCATTGTGCCACCAGGGAGGGCCTTGGTGTGTAACTTTGTATGTGTAAGTTAAAAATTACTTTTCCTGGCCCTCACTGGTGGTGCAGCAGGTTAGAGCACAGCACTAAGAAGCTAACACCACTTCAGCATGAGTTCGATCCCTGCCCTGGAGGTGATCCACATGGTGCAAGCAGACCTCTCCTGACCTGCCTGCTGCTCCCCTCAGCAGTGTACTTCATCAGTTGGCCTGTTCTGTTCCCCTCTGTCTCTGGTGAATCCTCTCACCCCACCCCCCGCACCTCTGGCCTGTACCCCAGTTCTGTATGCATAAATAAATAAATCTTTTTAAAAAATTATTTTTCCTCCACTTTATTATTGTTCTTTATTTTCTTACTCTGTGACTCCTAATAATTGTACACTGACCTCTTAGGTCACAGCCAACTTTTCTTAAACTTTACTTACTATCTTTTGTCTTATTTTCCTAGGTTCTGATAGATTTTCTCAATCCTTCATATTTTTTTTTACAATTTATTTATTTATGCATACAGAACTGGGGTATAGGCCAGAGGTGCAGGGACTGAAAGGCTTCACCAGAGGCAGAGTAGGGAGCAGGACAGGCCAACTGACGAAGCACACTGCTGAGGGGAGGATCAGGCATGTCAGGAGAGGTCTGCAGCCCCATGTGGGTCAACTCCAGAGTGGGATTGAACTCATGTTGAAGTGGCTTTAGCTTCTCACCCACTGTGCCACCAGGGAGTGTCCTCAATCCTTCATATTTTCACTTTCCAAAACTCTTGCTCTCTGAATGTTTCTATAGTAATTCACATACCACAATACTCATCTTTTAAAGCACACTGTTCAGGGGGTTGTAGTATATTCAAAGATTGTACAATCATTACCGCTACCTAATTCTACAACATTTTCACTTTTTATCATACTGTATAGAAATCTGTTACTTGTTAGTAGTCATTTCCTCTTCCTTCCTCCCTCCAGCCCTTGCCAACCACTAGTCAGCTTTCTATATTTATAGATCTGCCTTTTCTGGACATTTACTATAACTAGAAGTAAATAATATGTATCTTTTTGTGCCTGTCTTCTTTCATTCAGCATAACTTTCAAGGTTCATCCATGTTGTGGAGTGTATCAGCTCTTCATTCCTTTTTATAACTGAATATTATGAAATATAAATTTGTTTTTATTAACACACTTTGTCATTGAATAGATGTTTGGGTCTATTGCTACTTTTTGGGTTACTATCAATAACACTACTATAAATATTAATTTAAAAGTTATTATGTGGACATAAGTTTTCAGTTCTCTAAGATTTACAGTTAGAGTTGTTTTGAGACATCAGTGATGCTAGTCAACTTTTAAAGGAATTACCAAACTGTCCTCCAAAGTAACTGCACTATTTTACATTTCTTCATATCCATATCCAATTTCTCCATATCCTTGTCTACATTTTTTCCTTTTTGATTACAGTCATCCTAAAATGTATGAAGTAATCTATTGTTGTGCTTTGATTTGTATTTCCCTGACTAGTGATTTGGAGGTCTTTTCATTTACTGACCATGTGAATCTCTTCTTTGGAGAAATATCAACTCAAATTCTTTGCCATTTTTAAATTGGACTTTTTATCATTTTATTATTGAGTTAGAGTAGTTATTTATTCTGCATAATAGGACCTTATCACATACAAGGTTTACAAATATTTTCTACCATTCTGTGGGTTGTCTTTTCACTTTATTGATGGTGTCCTTTGAAGTACAAAAGGATTTTTTCTTCATGAAGCCCAATATACCTATTTTGTTCCTTTGGTTGTTTAGGCTTCATGTTTCATAGCTAAGAAATTCAAGGTCACCTATGTTTTCTCCTGGGAGTTTTAGAGTCTTTGACTCATACATATCAGTTTTTTATTATACTACAAACAGTAGATCTTATATCTTCAAGGATATTTATTTTTGGTTCATTTTTAAGTTTTTAACTTTATCTTCCGAGTCTAGCATTTTGTTTTTCTTCTGAACTACTTTTATCCTCTTTGTTTCTTTAGTCTCTGCTTCAAGTTTTTCCCTATACATATTATGCTGCTTGGTTGTATTATTTTTTATGGAACACTACAAGCTGGTTAGACATTGTATGTTTTTGTGAAGCTGATTGAATTGTGGGTAGCACTTGTAGGTAATGCACATTTTTTGGGGGGTGAATCATTGATT